ATAATAATTAAGTATTCTGTTAGAATTTAATGATTATACTAATTATATTTTAGAATTTTTATATTTAAAATGAGATGTTTATCCTGTATTTGATTGTGTTTATCTGCAGTTAGTTACACGAATTATATGGGATGAAATCGGACAGTGATTATGAGTTTTTAAGAGTTTTTAAGAGTTTTAGCGAAATGCTTTATAAGATAGTATAGATGTGATGCATAAAACGACTTACAAACAGGTAGAGGAACAAGGTAAGGCTTGAAGACGGTGTAGAAACACCATGTAACGATGAAGCAAGCAACCAATGCGAATCTTTTCTGCTCGTGTCGACTGAAGCTTCGAGCGAAAATCTCGTTATATTTCATTTCTTTCTCCTTCAAATATTCTATACGAACATTAATCCTATTGAAATTGCTGGTGATTGAATATATGTGTGTGATTAACTGCGCATTGCATTATATATGTATATATACACGAGTAGTATATGTAGAATGGCCTTCAAGAGGGTTTCTTTGACAATGATTGCTGCCCAGGATTTCAATGTATTTGGTAGTTGAATTGTGAAAGGAGATGAGCAATTGCAATCTTGAGCAACTCTTTTTTACCCAAAATTTGGATAAAAGTGTATATATATATTTTTCATTTGAAATGATTTATCAAACATATATTTTAATCTTGTATATTATGTTATTTTTTGTTTAGTTTTAATCAACAAACGAGTGTCGATATCGGACGTTGCACTGTTATTCAAAATAAATGTTAACAAAAATGTAAAAATGTTATAATATGACACTTAGGGGTCATTCACTAAATGTTTACTTGGAAAGGTAACTTTCCTTAGCAGATGAACATGGCAAGGGTAAAAAATCTTACCCAATAAGAACAATGATAAAGATGAAGAGTCTTACTCGGTAAGCGAGGGTGACAACTTTTACCCGGGTAAGTGCTTACCGGATAGATTGTTGCATACGATGCCATTTTGATGTATTACAATCTTACTCGTTGCTTCAACGCCATGATGGATGGGCAGTGGCAAAAGAAAGCCTTTATGAGTGTCTTTTATTGGATTACAATAGAAACTTATGTCAGGATTAACTTTGATACTTGGAATCACTATTTATGAATATGGTTTCAGTTTGTAAATATTTGGGTTTTGGGTTTTTCTTCCGTGAACAAAAGATCCTCGTTTTACGTGTGGACGTTCATCATCAAACCGGTGGGACCAGGTATATGTGAGTATTTATTACTTCCTTCCTTTATTTGTGTTTTACACATTGGGTTCGTTTGTCTTTGCCGCCGTTGATAGAATTCACGGATTTGATTTTGTTTTCAATTAAAGCTTGCAACTTTATTTGATTTTTGGGAGTGTGTTATCCTTAATCCTAACATAATAGGACAATATGAAAACAAATTGATAGACTCTATTTATGTTACATAATTTAATTGAATTTAGATGTAATTTGATAGGGTACAATGTATGGTATAAGTGTGTAGCAAATCAATCTTACAAACCAAATATACCAAGCAAAACTAGTGTTAGGGATCTCAAAAGAAACCGTCAAACCGCTCACATGTCCAATCAAACCTGCATATATAGGAAGGGATTCAAACGAAAACACCTTCATTTCATTAAAAAATGAGAACACTGGTTGTGATACTGTAGTACATTACATGTGATACTAAATCATAGACGTGAACGACTTTTAGAACGACCTTGGTTGTGAGACAAGTCTCCTGCACACTACTAGGCTCCATCAAGTATGTTATCACATGTGATAAGGGTGTTCTTGATGTGTTACTATAATCCATCACATGTGATACTAAATTCGATACGCAAACAACCTTTGGCACGACGTAAATTGCGGGCCAAGGCCAAGTCATCCGCACACCATCACGTCTCCTCATATGATTATTACATATGATAAAGGTGTTCTCGCGTTTCCATAAAATAAAAATGTTCTCGTGTGTGTATGTAAGTAGGTTCGCTGCAAACTAAATTTTTGTTGCGAATTGGGATAAAGAAGAGTATGCCACATGTCTTAGGCATTTATAGGATATTTATTATGAATGGTGTAAAAATTCACGCTTATTATTAATGATTAATGAGATTCATTATTCATAATGAATCAGGACACGTGTTACGTTCTCCTTTGTCCTCCAGTTTACAACGAAAAACAAGTTTGCAACTAAAGTTTCTTCCCCCCCCCCCCCTTCTCTCTCTCTCTCTCTCTCTCTCTCTCTATATATATATATATATATATATGCATAAAACACGAAAACACTTATATCACATCCCATACTATAGACCACTAGATGTGATATTACATTAGATAGTTGGGCGACTCACACTGTGACCTAGGTCGCAGGCTAAGTCTCTTATCATGAAAAAAATGTGATGGTTTCACCGTGACACCTAAAACTTGAGGCTTAATTTGATCTTTCATGTCAAATCTGACGTTGTTTAGAATTTTTAACCAAACCAAAGATATACAATTCTCTTCCTCTACCACAATTCTACGTATTATCAAAGAAACATATGGCATTATGTGTATTTAAAAATACGTAGAAATACGAGAATCATATATTTAATATTTAGGCCATTAATTAAATCAAGAGAATTCAAAGATATGCATTTAAATCAAATAAAACTTTTTTATAAAAATATAAAATAAACTTAATGACATCCAACAAAATTAGCTGAATTTGAAAGGTGCGCCTCAACTAATATTTTAATTCTCAACCTGCTCCTAATTGTTTTTGCAAAAAAGGTCCATCTGTTACGGTACCTAATTGGATTTCATTAAACTTCATCACCTGTGAAAGGTGGCCATATGTTTTCAGCCCTGATTTTGATGACCAAACTTTGACGACTTTTTTCTAAACAAAATGGATAAAAGCATTATCTTCCATTATACTTTTGAATTGTATTATTTTGAAAAAAAATAACTTCATATTAATCAAAATTGTAATCATATTACTACAAAACTAGCATATTTCCATATAAGTTGTGTACAAACTCCGTTTACTAACACCTTACCTTTTACTAACACATACCCGGTAAGTGTTTACTGGGTCATTTACCTTATTAAATAAACATGGTAATCATGCACGTCGGTAACCCAATCTTACAGAAATGATTCTTCCATCTAAAACAATGTTTAACATGGCTTGCTGAATATGTCGTTTAACAAAAACTGACCAAACACGGATAAAGCTCTACATTCTAAGGGACTGTTTACTAAACACTTACCAAGTCAAAAGCAAAGGTCTGTGTGAGAATGAGAGTTACGGTAAAAAGACTCATAATCACCTTTAATCTCAAACCCACCCATGAATCATGCTAGATACGAGGATTGATCTGGTGCATCTTGTTGCATCTCATCCTAATGTGCATCCAAGGGCGGAGATCCTTTTTTACCTTCTCACCTTAACACTCCTTCTCACCGGAACTCAACCCCGTCAAATATGATGTTCATTAACAAACTTACTCTACCATTTTGTTTACCAATAATCTCACCCAGTAAGGTTTACGATAATGGTGTTTACCAACAATCTATAAGTAATAAGCCATGACATTTCTATTACCAAGATCCTCTTTTCATTCAAAACTCAAAAATCAACAGAAATAAGGCAAGCCTTTAACATAAGTGATACTGTAAAACAGAATATGTAAAACAATACAAATTAATCATGCAACCTCAACCCCTCTGCTACCACATAGTTTGTGTGTTAAAAAAAAATTACCCTCAATAGTTGGAACATGGTTCCAATAGAACATGATTATGTATGAAGGTGGTTAGTATACATGTTGAATCCTCCTCATATTTAGTTACTACTCCCTTGAGATATATATGCATCAAAGATTAAGTTATGACTTACATGTCTCATCCTCTGCACCTTTTATTGAATGATAATCAGATTCCATCAATCTTCTTCAGGGATTTGGAATTCAAGGTCTAGTTTTCTCTTCAGATGGGTTCTGTCAGCACTGCAAAACAACGAACTCATGAATCATACCATTTACTAATAGTAATAACTCCATTTGATTTAGATCGAAAACCATACAATTGACCAAAATAGATGCAGATGCCACCAACATATTTACGAATCCTATATTTATCTTTTTTGTTCTTAGAATCTATATTCATTATATTCTCTATGTCAGGTTATTTTCAATGATTTACATTCAATATTCAATGCACAACATATTATCAATTTCCTTTTTTAACCAAGGATTCCAGTTAATGTGAAGAGAGAAGAAGCTCAAAATCTTCCCTTCATAACATTAGTTTAGTAGTGTGAATCATGTCATGAATGAGCGGAATATTGTACAAATATAAATTATTGGCACAAACTAAGCATGCCAACTCCTACCAAACGAAAGTATTTCCTATCCTAATGTCCTCCACTTGTACAAGAGGTATCCATACCTTACCGTGTTATGTATGATCATTTCTAATCGGCTTAGGATTCACATCTCTGCTACCCTTGCAAACTTACACTGTTGCCTGTCGCTGAAACTTGTCGTGATCTCATCCACCCATCATTAACGTCTTCATCAATGACCTTCCTTGGTTATATCAAATCGAAGCTATATTAAGTCATTACATATTGCCCATGTACGGCTTTTCAGCGACTGATACATTTCGTAGTGACGAAATATCAAAGATAGTTGGCTGCTTTAAAACCATTACCTGATGGTTATCTTTTTTTAAGTTAAGGTTTTAACACCATGAAATCATAAGATACTAATAGATTTTATATTTTTCCTTCTCCTTGTAATACTTCAAGTTATCAGTGTCCCCCAAAATCACTTCCTCTAGGTCCTCAAATTAATTGTCTTTCACCCAGTCACCTCCCTGTCACTAGGTTTGACTAACATAATATTTATCACATATGAGCTAATATCAATGTCATTTAGGCTATGTCAACCAAATTCATGACCAATTACTCCCCTGAATATTGAAACAGTTCATACCTTTCCACTTAGCCTACTCTCTACCTGCATTAGTCTCTTTCTTAGTGTGTCAAGGCATGCACATATACAAAAAAAAAAAAAATACATTTCTGATATATTTTGGGGGTGGTTGACGAAGTTAATGGTCTTTAATGCCTATCAAAGCAACTATTTTGGTGGGATGGAGGAGTGAATGTAACGGTACCGCGAAATTGATAGCTTCATACTATAAGTTAGGCTAAACAAAAGATACCACATTTAGCTTTTCTTTTGTAGTTCACTTCTTAGTTTATGTTGTGAAGATAGTATGCTACTTATTCCCATTGAAACTCAAATTTGCTTCTGTAGATTCGGCGTTTTCAAAGTCAAAAGTAGTTAGTTTACCTACTACAGATGTCTTACATATGTATAATGAGGGAACTGATTAGATGCAGCTAATGTAACGCAATAGATACATCTAACAGTTGAAGTACATACAAAAAACCAAACACACATAGTATGTCCCACTTGGGAGTAGGGTCTGAGGGATGTACTGATACCTTGCCTCTACCTCAGAGAGTGTAAATCAGTTGTTTCTGTGAATACCCGGGTTTTCGAAAACGGATTTCAAAAGAATTTTGGTGAAGATTCATGTGCTTCAAAAAGTTTGGAAGAAAATGGAAAGTGTGGTGGACCTAGGGATCAAAAAGGTAAATTACAAAGAGCTTTTGAAAAGCAGAACCAATGCTAGAAAACAGTAAAACAGGTTCCACAATTATAGAAAGCATAGCAACACTTAGAAACACTATTACAAGTGACCCTCTATCTAACTAAAAGCTCTGAAATCATATATATCGGATATCCAAACTTCCCCTCGATTCACCTTCTACCCTTTTAATAACCCCTCTTCACAACCACATAAGTTACAGGTCCCTACATATAGTCAATTAACCCTAGTCCTATGTCTCCAAGAACTCCTATCAATGTTCATGCCCTCAAAAATGTCAAAAGCCGTCATCTCTAACCTCAGCTGCTCATGTCCAAGAACTCCTGTCAAAGGTCTGTCAGAATAAGTTACGTCACCCTTACGGGACGAGAAAAAAATATCATCAACATCAATTAACCTCTAACATTTAAAATTAAGATTGGCATTTAGATGCATATTTGGCAGTGTTGGATGTATATTTAGCAACAAGTTAGGCCTTTGATTTATGCCTTGATTAGAGATGATTAGATTTCGACTTTATTTTTGTAGTGTTTGGTTATCAAGACTCCGACGGAATCTGAAGGAATTGGAATGGTCAATTTCTTTGACCAAATATGATTTACATATAAAATGGAATTCAATTCCACACATTCCACCATAGATCTGGTCATTCCATCACAAAGGAGAAGGAATTGAACTCCATTCCATTCCATCCCATCCCATTTTCATAAAATGACAAAACTACCGCCATAGAATATATATATATATATATATATATATAAGATATTATATATAACATATATATCAATTATATTATGAAAAATATATATTATATAACATTATATATATTTACAAATATTATAATATATTATAGAGGGAGGTTTAAACAAGAACAGTAACCAAATTAGATAACACAAAACCAGCCAAATCACGTGCAAAATCACGTGCGCCAACGGTCAACGCAAGGGTGTTTCGGCAGCATGGTCCACGACCTCAAATTGCGGCCTAAGTCACATGAATCACATCTGTTACACGTGATTTAAGCGTAAAATCACATGATTCGATCGTTTTCTTATTCTCTTATTTGGTTACCGTTCTTGTATGAACCCGACTCATATTATATACATATATATATATATATATAACATCGGTAATGTACTCTTGATTTAATAAATGGTAATTTACATATTTTTTCACATTAAATGTTGATTTTATTTATTATTTCTAATTTAAGAAAAAACCAAATTCAAAGAAAGGATATTTTGGTCCTTTTTTATTAATTCGTTCCAATTCATAAGCTAGATTCTATAAACCAAACAAACAGACTCTAATTAATTTGAAGATTACATTCCATTTCCTGCCAAGCAAACACTTGGTCAAACCTGATAGCATTCCATTCAAATTCCTTCCAGATTCCAATTATTTTGACAGATTACATTCCTTCAGAAAAACATTCCAATTCGATACTTATTTTTGCCCTCATAACATTACACACAATGACATATGTATATTTCCTAATCAAAGCCATGAAAACAAGATAAAACCTATCCCCATAACAATTGAATCACCAATAGCATGAGCAACATAAAAGACATTGAAGCATCCTCGCTAGTTAGAAAATCTTTCTTTAGGAACAGAAAAATCTTCATTGGCTTTTACGTAACGTGAACGGTCAATTCTCTAAAAGGGAATTTCTTCATGGCGAGTGCGTACAACTAGTGTTTCTAGAAATGAGTAATTGGTTTTATATATATATATATATATATATATATATATATATATATATATATCCTAAGGAACTCTGCAGAATTACCCCGTAACTCAGGAGGAGGGACTCCTAACCCAATAAGATTACAAAACAAAGCTCAACCTAAGTCTCGCTACCAAGAAAGGGTCCATAACTTCTTCTCTAGTTCCTTTGGAACAAATCACAAGCAGAAGCATCTGCTTTTGCCGTAACAAGTAGTCCCCCAACTAGCTACTTGTGATTGTCGTTACTTTCCAGTAGACTTGTAGTCCACTTCTTCCATGCCTCCACATCGTAAGTCATAACCAACTTGAATTATCATTTGAATCCAAGCAACTATGAATATAAATGCCAGAAATAATAATTTATAAATAAAACAGTAAACACTATTAATAATGTCTTATAATAATTATACGTATTTTGGAAGAATCAATAAAAGTACGAATTTTTTAGCCATTCTATTTATGTATTCCATCCGTATAAAAAATGCAATATTTGACATAGCATATAATTTAAATGTTTGATTATTGGTTAAATATCTTAAATGCCCCTCAATAACAACTGAAAGAAACAAGTAGACCAAGACTCAAGGTATAACAGCATATAATAATCCGAATGGGCAAAAATTTATGAATCGAAAACAAACAAACAAATATATATTGTATTTTTTTGGTATGAACTGATTTAATTGAACAAGTGAAATAAGAACAGATTGACAAGACCACTATCGATGCTTCAATTTGACAAGAACAAAAGGGTTTATTCGCGGCGCCAGAGCTCTCCTAAGAACACTCTTACTAATCTTCTCGATGCTTTCCGTTCTCTGCATCCCTCTATTTATACTAATATCGATTCTAAGAAATACCTAAATGGCCCCTTCTTAACTATTCTAGAATATCACTTAGGTATGGGCTTGGGCCTCTAGATGGGTGCCTGATATTTTTGTAACCCAAAAAGACTTTTTCCTTTTTACTGTGAGATAAATGGTAATGCTTTAAATGTGTTCAATAATGAAGATAAATACTCCTGTCTCAAAAAAACATATGTTGCATATTTGAGACAGTATAAAAGATTTTAAGAAAAAAGATGTGGTAAGAATATATCAAAGACTTGCCTATAGATTAAATAAAATATTTAAGGAGCATATGAGTGAGTGAGAGAGAGAGACGAATTAGGAAGTGTGATAACTGGATCCTGGTTATCACCCAAGGTAATTAATGTGTGATTATTTGATTAAATGATTATGTGATAGCATGATAAATTGATACGTTTGATCATGCTAGTATTTGAATTTGTTTATTAATTGGATATATATGGTATATGTGAATATATGCATAGGTATATATATATATATATATATATATATATGTGATTATACACACATGCATATTATGAATGCATGGTGTGTGGATGTATGCATGTGCATGAGATGAGTTAGCATGGGAAGGGGGCTGTTTAGCCGACCTTCCAATTTTAGAAAGTATAAAAGGAGGTTGAAGCCTCCATATTTCTCTTCTTGCCTCATTTGATCTTTGGGAGAACCAGAGAAGAGTTATCCGGAGATCTAATATTAAATCAAGGTCTTGCATTCATCATCTTCTTCAAAATTTGAAATTGTGTGTTAAAGGTGAGTGATTTCTAAACCTTTTTACATAAAATTTGATACTGGTTTTATTTGAATGTTGATTATTATTGGAAAGAACTCAGTTATTTTGCTTAAAGGTTTTATCCGGGTAAAGGTTGATCGGATTAAGTTTAAATCGGACAAAGCTTGTCCGGATTATTTATAAATCGGTCAAGGGTTGGGCGATTAAGCCTTAAATCGCTCAGGTGTTGAACGGTTTAGTCTTAAACCGGTTAAGTGTCAAGCGAGTTATGATTGATAAGAATGGATAACATTTTGAACTGAGAAGTAGGAATACGACCATGTGGTGACCGGATTATTTTAAATCGGTTAAGCTTTGAACGATGTATTGTCCGGACTTGTTATCCGGACAAAGGTGTTGGAATTTATTCTAAGTGTTAAATCGGACAAGCCTTGGGCGATGAGTTGTCCGGATTAGTAAATCGGACAAAAGGGACAAGTGTTGTCCGGACTTTATATCCGGATAACTTCTTATTTGGAAATTTTTCATGAGTTTTATATTTTTAGATTTTTTTTATATAGTTTAAAATGTCTATTATTGGGTTTAATTATGGATTATAAAATGGGTATTTTATATCTTTTTAAATATAAAGATATGTTCCTACCAAGCGTGGTGACGTAAGTCTGTTTTGGTTTGGAACGGGATTTTTGGGAAATGTTTCTACCAAGCGTGGTGACGTAAGTCTGTTTTGGTATGAAACTATATTTTGGGAAACCTTCCTACCAAGCATGGTGACATAAGTCTGTTTTGGTATGGAAGTGGATTTTGTAAATTGTTTCTACCAAGCATGGTGACGTAAGTCTGTTTTGGTATGAAACTTGTTTTAAGTAATAGTTCCCCCAGACGTGGTGACTTTTGTCTGTTCTGGTTTGGAACTGGGAATGGGTACTTTCAGACGTGGTAACTTATGTCTGTTCTGATAAGTAGCCCTGTTTTGATGGAGGAATAAGGGTGGCATATCAAGGAGAGGTATACTTGGAATAAGGGTGGCATTGTCATATGTGGATAMTATTATAACTCTTATTATTATTACTAATTGGATTTAATAACTTTGAGTCATCATTTCTTTGTGACCTGATGAATTAAAGATATTATTCCTATTTAGAAATAATAATTTAGATGTAATTGAGAAGGGGAAAATAGTTTGTCATATCAGGCAAGTATTGCCTTAAATCTTTTCTGTTAATATTTATAAAGAAAAGGTCTATTGATTCAAGAAGTTTTGGTTACAATATTTGTTTCATATTGAGAACGTTGGATCTCTAATCARAGATATTTTATAGAACTGAGGTTCTTGGGTATACTCTATTTTGCATGATATTGTGAACTGCATCATTTATTTGTAATGCAGAATATTTCTAAGCGGAATTACATTATTATATTTTGGTGTTCATCACTCTGCATTTGCAAGGAAGGGATTTACTCACTAGACCATCTGGTCTAACCCTCATTTTCTGTTTTAAATTATGCAATGCAGGAATAGCAGGGTCCGGGGATATTAAAGGGAAAATGTGATTATTTTCCTAATCTGTTGTCTGCTTTTGAAGATACATGTTTCATTACATGTAATAGTACAGGATTTGTTTTAGAAATTTTTATATGTAGATTTTGTACATATAGTAATCCTTGTACTAGTGGGACCTTATGATGTAAACTATATTTCTATGTAATGAAATATGTGTTATATGCAAATGTGAAATTTGGGGGTGTTACAGGAAGACAGTAATGATGACACATGGTCATATATCACGTCAATCCTCCCACAACTAGGAGCATAGAAATATATATATAGAGAGAGGGGTGAGAGGTGAGAGATGAGAGAGAAGGGGTAAAGAAATGAGTGCAGTCACTTCATCAATCCAAGGCCATTTTTAATGCTTATTAGTCCTTATTTGAAAAAGATGAAAGAAAGTCGGAGACTGCCTGCACTTGCAGTCGGTGACCCCACAATCCCAACGCCCATAAGCTACCTCCAACTCTCCAACTGTTAACTGGATCTCAAGAAACAACTTTGCATAACCCAAGTCATAACTACAAATAGTTCCAGTGACTTTGGCCAAGTATCATGTAGAATAAAAATACGATCTCATATATAACATTCAAGCATTACCCAAAATCATACACACAAAATGTACAGTTAACTGGATGCTATTTACCTGTTAATTGTTGGTCTAGCTGGAGGCCTTGCTGCGAAGACTGAAAAATCGAGTGACATTGGTGCAGGTCCACTTCTTTCATTTCCATGGTCATCAATCTTTTCTGGTTGACGTGAATTCCCTTCGTATCCTTCAGGGTGTGGCATCACTCTTCTTGACTTCCTTGTAGGTGATAACACAGTAGGACCTTCGAGTGGATTGAAATCTGAGGGCTTTGAATCTACAGACTCCTTTTTTGGTGGAGGTCGTGGAAGCAAAGCTGGTTCAGTCGGTGGAGGTCCAGAAGAGAAGTACCTAGCAGTAAACGCTAGTCAATCAATAATTACTTTAATAGTAACTTGTGTGAATCAAGACTACCAATCAATAATCACCTATGTTCTAATGCCTGTTGTGCTGAAATTCTAGCTTTCGGATCATATGCAAACATCTTTGATAGCAGATCCAAGGCATCATCACTGGCCATTGGAAACAATGTCCGAAGTGGCTGTCCAGGAACGAACTGGTATTCAACATAATCAGGGAGATAAATCATATCTGGCCATTGAGAAGGTTTTGGAGTCCCAAATGCAGCAAAAATTTTGCCTAATTGATCGATGTCACTGCTACCCTAAGAAACATTCCACTTAACGATTAGCTATATTTGCAATAACAAAACATGAGCTGTGGGAATCACAAGCCCAGTAAAGTATTAGGAATACATGACTTGAGAATAAACGTGGAAGGTAAACACACAAATACATAATGACATGATTGAGAGAGAGAGAGAGAGAGAGAGACAGAAATATGCTACCCAGCACGCAAGGGCTTAAAGAAGAAATCTTTTACTGATATATTACTTACAGCACATTACAATTAACCCCCATGAAGTGAAGAGAACACACCGAAGGCTCATTGGTCGAGCGGTATCCGGGTTACCCATAGAGCCCAGCCTCCCAGAAGGTCAAGGGTTAAAACCTCACCAAAGGAGTGTGCGTGAGTATTTTTCATATTTAATATAATATAGAGGGCCATGCCTGCAAACATATGGCCGTGTTTTACATGTGCATGTGTCTGTAAGCTATCATATTCCTCAAACTAACACGCTGCTGCGAAGTGAAGTGTACTTGCAGCAACAACAAGAAGCATTTGATCCCAAACTAGTTGGAAAAAGGGGTTTAAAGATATTCAAGTTCCCTAATAAAAGATCTAGAAACTTGACCATGAAGAAAAGAATTGAAAATTACTGCCTAAGCGAGCGTTTAAATTGCTGAAAGTAAAAAAAAATTGAAATAGACTACTCTCGACGAATCACAATCTAGGTTTCAAGGGGCATAAACCCCATAGCAAATTAGCAAGTCTTGAACATTTGGTTAGTCAAAGAGAGCCGGCATGTTTATTAAAAGCAATGTAATTAGAACTTATGTAGATTGATGGCAGTCACCATTTGCTACAGAATGGAGTCTAGTCATAGATGTTCTGTGAAAGATAGCAGGGTCACGTGGGTTTTATTGCAGATACGTCAAATGTAAATTATCCAGGCAAAACATTCATAGTTTATAAAAATGATGCAAGTTTAAGTGAAGGTAAACCCAGGCAACCTGAACTCACCTGCAAAAAAGGGCGCCGGAGAAGGAGCTCAGCAAATATACAAGCTGCTGCCCAAACATCAACCCCAGGACCATACTGCTTTGCACCAAATAACAGTTCAGGTGCTCTATACCATCGAGCAAAAACCTAATTACAGACATTTGTCAATGGATGGTGTCCAAAAATACTACACTGACGGATGGGAAAATTGCACCAAAATGGAACCAACTTTCACCTAATTCCTATTTTGGGGAACCAACTTTCAAAATCGGCATTTTAGGGAACCAACTTCCATCTGATTCCTATTTTGGGGAACCAACTTGCACTTGATTCTTATTTTGAGGAACCAACTTTCTAAATCGTCATTTTGGGGAACCAACTTGCACCTGATTCCTATTTTGGGGAACTAACTTGCAAAATAATTATAGAAAAATAACTGAAATTCGTTTTTTTCCAAAAATTAATGTAATAAAATCTATTTTTCATTTCAAATTCATTTTTTTTTAAATTCAGATATCAAATTGAACATTTAAAAAAAATCCAAATTACCACAATAAAAATTATTTTTTTACTAATGCAAAAAAATTCAATTTAATAGAAAAAAAGTAATTGATGCACTAGATATAAAAATCTTGAATGTGATATTTAATATTTATTTTTTATTGCATCAATTAATTTTTTTCTATTAAATTGATTTTTTTTGCATTAGTAAAAACAATTTTTATTGTGGTAATTTGGATTTTTTTTTTAAATGTTCAATTTGATATCTGAATTAAAAAAACGAGATGTGAAATGAAAAATAGATTTTATTGCATTAATATTTGGAAAAAAAACAAATTTTAGTTATTTTTCTATAATTATTTTGCAAGTTGGTTCCCCAAAATAGGAATCAGGTGCAAGTTGGTTCCTCAAAATGACAATTTTGCAAATTGGTTCCCCAAAATAGGAATCAGGTGCAAGTTGGTTCCCCAAAATGACGATTTTGAAAGTTGGTTCCCCAAAATAGGAATCAGATGCAAGTTGGTTCCCCAAAATGACGATTTTGAAAGTTGGTTCCCCAAAATAGAAATTATGTGAAAGTTGGTTCCATTTTGGTGCAATTTTCCCCTGACGGATACTTGAAAAAATAAAAATATATGAAGGCAATTATGCTTCTAAAGAAAAGATATCCTGGTGACGTACAATACCAAGCAATAATTTGAAGAATATCATAGCATCATTTCTTGAGTTCAACGATAACCAAAATAAAACTTCAGGGGAATAAAAGTTTTTACTTAATTGCACGAAAACAGATGTTACAAGAAAGTTCTCTCTCAATCGATCAAAAATCATCCAAGAGTTACCAGATAATACTGCTCTCCTGCAAACAGCCAATCAAATCAATATTTCCTTTCAATTCAAGGTAGAATTTCAACCTTGAACACTGCTTTAGTAATTCAAACAATTTTATATGCTTCACTTTTAGTAGCACAAATGTTTTGATTCAACATGATGTGTTCAATAAACAAAAATAGGCTTTTTTCTCTATTCATTTTATTTGATGTTTTCACATGATTGATGGGAAATGCAAGTAATGCCACATCGAGGTAAAAGGCACACAGGTCATGAACTTCTTTTTTCCAATTAAGTACAAATGCTAAAAATTAAGCTGGCAAGCATATCACAGTATTTTATCATACCAAGAATTTGACAAACATCATTCGAATGTCTCTTTAATTTGACTAACCAGAAAATTTCGGGGACACAAATAATTTATTTAATGTATGGAGTTATAATTTACATGAATTGCTCTCGATCAATTAGAAAGCATACTAGCTAGTAGCTACCATGAAACGGTACTACCCTGGAAATATTTCCTTCCAAATCAAGGGATATTGTCAATCTTGAAGGGCAATTTAGCAATACAAATAGGATTAATACGTTTTCACCTCTGGTAACATAATTATCAAGTTGATTTATTATATGTTCATCTTGCCATCAGAAACTGTGTCAAAAAGAATGCTTATCCCATTCAATTATAAATTGAATGAAAAGGATACCTGGTGAGTAAACCTTCTATCCGGACTACCAAATATGCGTGCAAGACCAAAATCTGCAAGTTTAAGTTGTCCACGAGGTCCTATCAAGAGATTATTTGGTTTCATATCCCTGCCAAGAGAAGTTTCAAGCAATTAAAAGAACTCGACAAGAAGCAGCAAATTACTTTGGTAATATCATACTTGACACTTTGTATTAAAACAACTATGATTTGAAAAACCCAATACTTGCAGACCATTTACAATTTTGCCCAAATATTGCCAAGTGTAAGAATTTGTTTTCGACAGATAAAATCAAGTACAAATGTACAATTCTTACCAACTTCCATTTTTTGCAAGTACAGGGTTTTTTTACGACTTCTCCAAGATTGTTGTTTTGCTACAAAGTGTAAAGTACACTGGTCAAAAAATAATACACTCCCACAAAAAAGTGATGGCTTGGTGCAACTTACCTATGCAAAACCCATTTTTTGTGGCAGAAGGCAAGTCCTTTCAACGTCATTTGAAGGTATGACTTTATATCAGTGGGCGAAAGAACGATGTTCCTATCCCGAATTACAGCTTCAAGGTCAGTCTCCATAAACTCAAAAACAAGATGCAAGTTCCCTTTATGAGGAAAAGCATCAATCAGCTCTATTATATTTGGATCCTTGAGCTCTTTCAGTAATTTAATTTCTCTAAGAGCAGTAAAATTCACCCCTTCCTTTTGCTTCCCAAGGCGGATTTTCTTTATTGCAACAGTTTGTCCTGTCTGTCCGGAAACCAAAAGTTAATATTCTACTGCATAGGTATTTAAAAAAACCCTTAACCTTCTCAAGGTTTCAACATTTGTTTCTACGTCATATCGTCATCCTTTAGGGATAGAAATGATCTACTGAACTTGTCATTGGTAACCCAAAAATTACAGTTTATATTCATCAAAAGTTTTAGGTTAAATTGAACATATAATAGCCATACACTTGATCTCAATCATCATGCTAATAAAAAGAAAAGAGCAAATGTCAAAGGTCAAATGCAAAAGCACGTGTCATGTGCATGGGAGAGATGATCTGCTGCTTCAAATTTTTTTTTTTTGAGATTTCTCAAGTTGTTTGCAGCACATACATACAATGGCAAGGATGCATTGGAAGCTATGTTGTTATAGAGGCGAAAATACAAAATTGCAGTCAGGACCGATATTTGAAATAGCGGTTATAGCGGTGGTATAGCGGTCCAAAAATAGCGGTTCATATAATAATAAATTTTAGAATTATAATATATATATATATATATATATATATGCGTACATAAACATATCATATGTGTTAATCAAAAATATAGTTTCAACATCAAAACATCAACTTAAACAAGTTTCAAAAAACAAAATAGGAAAATGTTCATAAACGAGCTAATCACAAGCAATAGGTTCGGCATCCGAGTCAACATAGTTCTAAAGAGGCTCAAACTAAAATATCGGAATATTGGTCCGCAATTTCACCTCAAATATCAGTCAATTTCGCCGCTAATACCAGAAACGCAACTTTCACCACAATTTGACCACCGCAATTTTATCCTAGTCCGCAATCCGCTATTGCACTGCTGGCGCAATTAACAGCATAGATTGAAAGGACCAAAATTTAGGGTGTAATTTCTTAAATCGGTTAGATGGCCCATTGATATTACTGTATCCTCTATTTTTTTTAATCTTAGCCTAAAAAAACAGTTTTTTACAAGAACTCTGAAATTTAAACACCATTCTATCAATAATTATCCATATGTCATGGATGTCAAACATCAACATTGTATAATCAAAGATTAAAGAACGCATATAGAACACATCATCATTCAAATTCATTTTCTTGACGATATTCAAATCTACATTAGACATAAAGAGTAAAGTCTTTTTAGTTTCCACAACCACAAAACAGTACTACGGTTGTTGCTAGTTGGTAGAATAGCAATGCTTTCAAATAACATAGAGCACTTTCTTTGCTTTGACAGAAACATATAAAAACAAAAAATCTTGGGGCAATCTCGCGTCCTGATGTTTCATGGGGGAACCTAAACCCTAAATTTCACATTACATACCAAACCATATAGCCACACAGACAAGTCACCTAAATGCAACAATAACAAATATACGGTGCAGTATAAGAATACCTTAGTATCAATAGCTTTGTAGACGACACCATAGGTACCTTCTCCAAGAACCTCACGCTTCAGGTACCGGTCAGCTACTTTCTTTGCTAACAAGTGATCGACTTCTGTCATCGCTTTTTATCTGTTCTTATTTTCTATAGGCCGACGAACAGGCTATATCAATTCTGTACTTGTTTCAACAATTATATAATCAAGAAATTAGTAATCCTGCTATGTCGATTTCTTCATCAATTATACCCAAAACCCTTGTGCCAGAAAGGAATGAAAGAAAATACGTCTGGCCTTCGCAAAATTATAACCCTAGAAACCAATTTGAACAGAAAGAGTATCAAAGGATAAAAAACATAAAGCAATATAGATAGATGCGTACACAGACCTTTTCAAGCATATGTAATGAAGGAATCCATAGCCGATTCGCCGGCGAAAAATGAAATTTTGTTGAAATAACACAATCTTTTTTTGAAAGCGATTCGAATGGAACCGCGTTACGAATGTATCTATCTGAAAATTAACAAGCAAGATTGGTTGGATAAGCAAACAGTGCTCCCAGAAAGAGGCTGGGGAAGATAGTGGAAGGAGAGTGAGAGTGAGAGTGAGAGCAGTGAAGCCTGACTGGGGGGCGATGAACAACTGGTTTTTATGATTTGGTACAAAGTGCTTTTAACGTTTTTCTACAGCCATGGCCATCACGGTCCAAAAGAATTGTTAGTTCTATTTAATTCACATATTTTCAGATGTTTATAGTATATAAAGAGTACAAGGGGAAGGCTAAAAATGAAATATGAGAGACGTAAAAAAAACCATCACCCGACCAAACAAAACCAATCCAAACCAGGAAAACGAGGCCGTTTGCTCCTCAAACCACGATCGGCTAAAAACAACTAGAACGATACAATTTAACGATTTCTAATTACAATTATATGTTATTTCAAAAATACTAGAATTATATTTGTTTAATATTCTATATTTTCATATAACACATATCTCATACATAAAATACATGTTTTCTCCCATATAGGTCCATAACACAAGAGTCTATAATATAAAATTACATAGATCAAAAATTCCAAAAGTACATGTTATTGTATCCTAGCATCCAAGCTTCAAAATATAGCAAAGTACATAGGGAATTATTTCACAAAATGCTCTTGCTCTTATTATCATTGCCTACACACATATTTTTGAAAACACAAAATGAGGGTTAGACATGAATGTCTAGTGAGGTTCCCTTTTACGTAATGCAGGGTGAAAATCACCAAAACATTTATTTCAAATAATTCATCTCATGTAGCAAAAATTGAAAATCATATTTTGTTTCAGTTCATCGGCCTCTGGTTCCAAACCATACTTGGAATATATTTTAATAAACAGGACCAGCGCCCCTCTGGTCTTTCTACCAGAGCATTCGGTTCTTCGACCAGAGCCTCTGGTTGTACTAACTAGAGCTTCTGGCTCATATATATAATGTTCTTTAGTTAAGCTTCTAATTAACAAGGAAACCTTTTTCATAAAAAGAATAGTTATAAAGAGTTCATGCTCGACCAGAGCTTCTGGTTGTACTAACCAAAGCTTCTGGTTTAAAAGTTATGACCAACCAGAGTATCTGGTTCAACGTGCGAGTCGACCAGAGCCCCTCTGGTCTGTCTTTTGTATAGAAAGCTAATTATAAAATCATTTTTCTTGAAAACTTCTTAAAACATAATTTGGACACAGAAGCTCTTATCAATAGATACAAAGCCTCTGGTCCAACTATTACATTTAGTAAAAGTTTGCATATTTCTCAAATCAATAACCCAAATCCTCTGGTCCAATAGTGAGAACTAACCAGAGCCTCTCTGGTTCCTCATAAAATGGACACTCTGTTCCAAAATACTTTTTGCCAAAACCAATAACCATAAGCCACATATTTTTCCCATAACCATAACATCAATACTACTATTTCCAATAAGAACAACATCTCTGAATCCTCAAATCACCAAGAAGAGAGAACTCCAATCTGTTGTAATCTTATTAGATATGATAGCAAGAGTTATACCATGCACACACACACAACGACCATCCTTATTACTTCCATCAATCCCCTGTTTATAGCAATAGCTATCCATCACACACAACGACCATCCTTCTTTCTCCTGAAATTCATATGAACTATTTATCCAATGACAGGCTGCAGACCTTTCTGTCAGAGTGAACCTCGTTCATAGTTTTATCCAAAATCTATAGACTATTTCATCCAATGACGGAACAAAGTCACATACGTCAGAGTGAACCTCGTCTATAGTTTTAACCAAATCATATTCTCAACACAAGTTTATATTCAAACCTTTCAATCCATAAGAACAATCTGTTCTTCATATGATTTCTCAATCGTCTGTTTTTGCTTAATCCTCAAAAACAGAATACCAAATCCAAACTGCTCCTTCAAACACGATTCCTGTTCAACCTTTTTCAAAACAGGTTTAAGCTTTTCAATTCATAAAACAGTTTCTTTTAAAAACCGTTTAAACAGTTTTACTGGATTCTTTTAAATTTAAACCCATCAATATTCCATAATTTATAGAATCAAACAGTAGATAAAACTTACGATTTATAATCGACGGTAGTTTAAAACTCACCTTAAAATAACAGATTCTGCAGATTATCACGCAGCAAATCACAGAATCTTTAAACAACAATATTCTTCAAGAATATTTTTCAAGAACTTCTTCAAGAACACTTTCACCGCCTTTAAATTTCTCTTGTATATTTTGTAAAATAGTGAACTAATAAGGTCCTTACCTTATCCTCTTTCTTTTATACTTAGGATGAGGCGGTGGTGAATATCTTTCAATATAAAATCATTAGGCGGTGGAAAAATAATGTTTTATAATCAACCTTTCTTAACCATGAAGGTTTGGATTATAATAATATTCCCACATATTATTTTATCATATAACCGCCTATAAAATTTCCACATGCATGCATAATATCCAATTACCACACATGTGCACATAATTCATGCATTTATCTTTAAGACAACATGCATGCTATCACATAATTCACATAATGAACACATAAATTACCTCAACCCAGGTTTGCAGAAAATCCAGTTATAACATATATATATGTATGTGTGTGTGTGTATTTGTGATCAAAAGATGCAGTGGGGGTTGATCCGACAAGGAGGGGTGGGGGTCATCGTGAATCACGTCAAGGGGTTGGGATGAGGCACCGTTGGAGTTTGTCTTTACAATTATGTATACATAGACCCCTTTCATTTGTTAACCTCCCAATTAGTACAAATTTTATCAACTAATCATAGCCTTCCATCTTGTTTCCACTATTCTTTTTATTCCATGAGAATTTAATAGTTGTAGGGTTATTTGTACTTTAGTTGGTTGTGACCAAGAAACCATCAGTTACCGAAACAAATATGATTACCTCAATAAGATATTCCCTTCATTTTTCCTCTGTCATTTTTAGGGATATAAAATATTAAGGTCTATTTTTTTTATCTGTACGGTTTTCTTAATTATATCCCTAATTTTATGGAGTCAATAACAAAACAATAATTATCTCACTGATGAGATAATCATGAAGACAGAGATTGTGCTTGAAACGTATCAGAACTTCTTGAAAAAGGAAGGATACTATTCAGGCTTCAATGCCGATGGATTCAAATTCTAATGATGATTGTAGGTTAGTGCATACATCCAACGATGTCTTTCTGTTAGATGTTTTGAACAATACAAAGTGTCATTGGTTTGAAGGTAATCATTTCGTTGAACCAATCTAAGGAGGGTGCTATTGATACGAATCGTCATTGGGATTATACTTCTGAACAACATGCTAGTGTTTTCAACTGACCTTCTGCATTTCTGTAATGCAACAATCTAACATCAACCATGATTTATGTAACATCCATCTTTCTAATATGCGTTAACTTTATGCTTAAATGTGATCTACAGGTTGGAAACCCTTAAATATGTTTGAGTAAGATTTTGGAGTGGTTATATGTTAAGAAATCAAAGTACGTTGCATTTTGGCTAAATATGTGTTGAAAATATCATTTTTTTCGGTATGCTTTTGAGCACTGGGGTCGAACGAAAGACTTTTATGGAGTTTGAAGGTCTGGAACTAAGTTTAGAATCATTTGGGAGGTATTAGAAGTGTTGTAGAACTTTTTTATGCAATTCCGATCATAAAGTCAAATAATGGAAATAAGGAAAGTATAACGTCTAAGTTACAAATAAGTAAAACTTCTTTTATCGGAAGATATTTTCTGGAATATTTTTATTGTTCACATAGGCGAAAACCTCATCGAAAACGGAGTTACGAGAGAAAAGTTATACAATTTTTAGTGTTTAGTAGTCAAAATGGGTACCAAACCGGGTCAACCCGACCCAACTCGGATTTAAGACGTGAAAACCCCCAAAACAGCCTCGTTTTACCCACATTTCACCCAAAATCAGTTCTTGGTGTTCTAAGGTGAGAACACACACACTTGGAGCTAATCTAACCTTAAATCAATTGATTTAACAAGATTTTTGAGAAGGATTTGTGGAGAAATCAAAGGTAAAACTCACCTCATATTCTTGTTTTTGTTTTGTATATAAATTGATTAGTTTTGAGTCCATGCATGTGATGATTTAGTAATGAAATTATGTTAAGATTAAGTGTTATTATCTGTTAGTATGTGAAATCCATGGATGAATTGTAAGACTTCTTGAAATGTATAATGTTAACTCAAGAACATGTGTTGACTTTTAGGAGTCAAATTGAAATATGAAGAAATTGGTAGGAAATTGATGCTATAATCATGGTTTATGATTGATTTATTCTGTAATATGGTAAAAATAAGTGAATATATGAATTTGGAATTGATTGGGCTAGTATTGGTCATATTTTTGGATGAAAAAAATGGATGTTTTGAGCATATGTCAACATTGTTACAGCTCTGTCTTTGAAAAATCATAGAAATTCGTATAAAAATCCTAAAATTATGTATAAATAAGCCTGAAAAGGTAAGATAAAGGGCTACAACTTATCTTTAGAGGTTAAATGGTGATTTTGAGTTTTAAAGGGTCAAAATCGGTCTGGAAGTTGAGTGTTTAGAATGAAATTCAAAGTAGAGTGCCTTAATTGAAATGGGATTTGAGTGAGTTCTTGATGTGCATCACTAATGAGACTTTGAATATGATTTCCATGGATTGTTTAATATTGTAAGGAAGTCTTGGAGGCTATTTTCAACCTTTGAAATTGAATTGGGATTCTACCACTCGTTTCGGCATTCGGTTTAATACAACTGAATTGTAATGTGAGTTTACTTGGATATGTGTCTATTATGTGCTATATGTGTATATGTGCTATTCTTATGGTCTTGATACTTGTTATACCATGATCACTCCTTGTAATGGTTTGTTTGTAGCTTTGTTCTTGTTGGGCGTCGATTGTCGAGCACTTTTGGATCCGGGTGAGACAACTGGAGGGGGCTGTCCCTACTCATCTGTCCGGAGATGGAGGATGGTTATTGCAGGAAGATGAGTAGAGGGTTTGTACATCATCCATGAGTGAAGGAACACGAATTGGTCAGTCAAACCTAATGTTTGTTGGTTGTTTTGTACATAAATTGTTGGTTAATGTACTAGCTATGCATAGCATGATTATGAGTATCTGATATGTTTG